TATATACATATATATATATATATATATATATATAATTATATATATTGAATTGTAACAGAAGAGGCTTCTGACAAAAAAAGAAAAAAACTCGGCCTCCATCGGGACCATTCGCATACATGGAGAATGACATAACCACTTGACCACAAAGTATAAAAGTTTCTCATTTGAGATCCAGCAAGCTGAAAGTAATGCACAGAAGAGGCCGTATCATATAGATCTCTGACTAGATTGGCCATGTGCAGTAATAGTGCTTTATCAAAATTGTGACGTCAGACACGTTAAAAAGAAATCACAATGCCTTTGCGGTCAACTGGAGGATGGGATATAATCATGCTTATACATACCCATTTCATTATGTATATATCCATTTTTAAAATGGAATAGAGAAGCCACACAAAAAAAAACATACAAAGATGCAGCAAGTTCCACATGGTCATGTAAATTATTAGTATGGTATAATGTACAGGTGTAATGTACTGTACCTTCCTTTGCTATCCTTCAGAGTGAGGTCTGGTTGAAAAGGCATCAGTTTCATAATCACTCGACCGTGGTCTTGGAATGCAGCGCAGTGGCAAGCCGTCCACCTCGTTCCACCATTGCACTGGTTCACATTTGCCCTATTCAAAATTTTAACAAAAATTTATCTATATTTTATTTATTCATTTATCTATATTTTATTTATTTATTTTATCCTAAAATTACCATTATTGGCATATTTAAAAAAAAAAATTTTTACAACACGAGTCTACAAAATATTGGACGAGGACTTGTCATCCTACAAAAGCAACACATGTAAGAATTCAATATTCAAATTGTTAGTGTAGTACAGTGAAAGGAGCAGCAGAGTATAGGTAAGTGGAACATTCTACTTCAGTGATTTCGGCTGATACAAATGTGTACTGTATATGTTCACTAAATAATGGAATAAAAATATTATAAACTCATCATGGTAATCAGTAAAATAAGTCAATATGTGACGAACAATGTCTCCATCACATCATTTGAGTATGTATCGTATAATCAATTTTTTACCATATTCTTTACTATCTTGCATGCTCTAATAGATAAACAAAACTATTATTGGCTCATGTTCTTTATTTAAAAGTTAGTTTGACTTTCATTTGCAAAGGTCTTTCTATAATTACAGTTAAAGACGTAGCAGTACAGGTATTCAATACTATGCTTCAGAATATTCAGTTGCATATGGCGAAACTTGCAGCATTTGGTACTAGGCTTCACAGAATGATTATTTAAATATACAAATACAGATGTTAAGTAAATAGTCAGCAGCTTTTCTTCCTTAAGGTTGGGGGTTAATTATGAGAATAACTTTCAGGCTACTATTATTGTTGGCTTTAAGTCTCTCGAAAGATGGCAGGGTGACAAGACAGTAGATGGTTCCCAAGGTCATTTAAACTTATGTTATTTATACAAGAGTTCCCTTCTTTCTGCACCCCCTCCTGCAAATATCTGGACCCACCCCAGTACCTCACAGTCTTCTTTTTCGAGTTAAATCTAAAACTAGAAACAAAAATAAAACAGTAAAACCATTTAACCCCTTAGGCATATCTTACCCATTCAACAATAAACACTCAACAATATCACTATAGCCCCAGAAGGCAGCATTGCACAAGGGAGAAAATCCGTCCTTGGATCGACCATTTATGTTGGCTCCTCTTTCAATTAGATTTTGAACAAGCTGTAGAATGAAAATATATTTCTTTTTAATATATCTAAAAAAAATCTGAATAAAATGTGATTTCCTTATTGTACTAAGGCAATATTCATGTTGGTTAAATTAATTATTTTTATTAATAAATAATAGTAAAGTATATAGGACTATGGGAGAATGCACAGCATAATAATTAATACAGACCAATAAAACATTCTTTTACATCGATGATTTAAACTTAATTATCTCCATTTGTATTTATTCTAAGAAGAGGCCTAGCTATTAGCACTATTTACTTGCATTGTAATAAAGACCACAGTGTCTCTAGGCCTAGTCTAGCTAAGTAGAGTAGGCCTACTACTACTAGGCTACACTACTACTACTAGTAGTGTCTAGACAGGACTAGGGCCTAGGCTAGTAGTAGTAGGCCCATGCTAGGCCTAGGCTAGTCCCTACCACCACATAAAAAATAGTTATTTCACCTCCACCATGGAAATATATGTTTATAAAGTAGTACTACCAGACCAGTGGTGTAGGGCTACCTACGCCTATAGTTTAGGTTCTATTTAGTAGGCTAGGGTATATATTTAAGGCTCAGCCAATACTGTAAATAATAGCCTGGCCTAATACTAGGGCCTAGGCCTAAGGAATTAGACTATATAATATTCTAGGCCTTGGCTAAGCCTAAACTAGCCTATCATTCACTTGTGAAGCTCCACATTCATAGTTCGTACTCAAATTACATGGTATATAGATATAGAGATTGAAAAAAAGCTTTTGTGTACAATTTTATCGCCAGTAGCAGCGGCTGTTGCTAGGTCCATGGGCGCTGCCATCTTTAGTTAGGCGTTGTTTAACCAGTGGTGGCGCTATTCTATTTGTTTTGTTAATTTTCATGTCCAGAGGTATCATCATTTTATTTATTCAACAAAAAACAAAGGGGAACTGGTCCCGGACTCCAACCAGGCACCTCTACAAAAACAGACCGGCCAAATCCGGCGGTCCAGTTCCAGCAAACCCCAATCAATGGGTACCAACAGGGGAGACCTGCAATCCCACCTCTCCCCGGTCAAATCACTGACTGTATTCAACAAAATATATTTTAAAAAATTACAAAGGGCCCTTGTTAACTAAGTTACAATATATGTTTCAAATCCTAAATTCAATGGAATTTTTGTATTGTTTAATAGATCTGTGGTTTAATATAGGCTAACAGCAGTGGCGTATCTAGGGTGTGCGCGCGGGTAATGGGGAAACCCGGCACAAAAATATACTCGCTGCCCCTAGTCGTCCTCCCCACAAAAAAAATCACGGTCAAGTAGTTAGGCTTGTTTAAATATAGGCTAACAGTGGTGTATCTAGAGGTGGGCGGGTGAAGGTGATCCCCAAAATAAATACTCGCTCCCCCTAGTCGTCCCCTACTCCACCAAAATAAAAATCACGGTCAATGTAGTTGAGCTTGTTTTTTAAACGTACGCGAAAAAGTGTGTTTTTGTTTATTACCGATCAATTCAGGCTGTCGTTATTGCGACCCTAGAATTCAACACAACATGTGCTAAATTGTTACGGAAATGCGACGATTACAAATTAGCCTGTATAATATGTATAATAGGATTAGGTGATCAACCTTAGTGATGATACCACCACGCCTTCGGAAGCAATCTACTGCGCAGCATACATTCGCATACGTTTCAACAACAATATTGTGCCTTCGTTAATAAATGATCGTTGGCGTATGTGGGTTCGGTCTTATAGGCCTACTTATTTACAGTTTTGTGTTGTAAAGGGTCTCGAATGACATTGAACAATAATGCGCATGATCGCCCATTCATGGCCGATTTGTTTCTTTCTTCCATGATATAACAAATTAAAATTAAACTTGCAGTGTCATTTCCTTTGTCTGGGTGTTCTTCTCCCTTCCTTTATTGTCCGGGGTTTTTTTATTTTTTTTAAATTTTTATTATTATTTACCTTATTAATTACAATGCTCTCTCCTTCAACTGTTTCCTCGCATTTTGACGTATTGCTTTTTAAAGATTTTTCAATTTTTTCCTTCAGATTTTATGACAATTTATGTATTTTTTGTTGTCAATTTTCTGCTGTGTATAGGCTATTAATCTTGTACATTATACGCAATTCAGCCTTGTTGCTGCTGTGTATGCATTTTCAGAATATTGAAGATTGAATTAATATAGCTCAAAAAATAACCACAATTCGTGATTTACTGTATGTGCTGTAGTGTGTTTAATATCTCTATACTGTCGTAAGCCTATAAATTGTGTGTCTTATTTCAGTGTCATGGAATGTAGGCCTACTTTTATTATTAAGAAGGAAAATAAATCGAATCTTGAATATGAAGATTGTGACAATGATAATAATGAAAGTAGCTGTAAGTTCCATTTATATATTACACTTAGTAACATGTTAGATTCGTTTGGTTGAGGGGAATTCGTTTTCCTTAGATCAATACTATAATCTGCACGTTTTCTGTGGTTATGCAAATAATGAAATGAGTCACATTAACAAATTTTTCAATTAAGTGACCATTTTCGATAAAAGTTTGCGTAAAAAAATGGCAAGAGTTGAGACAGTGACTATTTTGATAAGATACCGGTGAATCCATCCGGTACCGGTAAGATAATTGGAAGTCGTTCCATTTAATGGTAATTAAACAAAAATAAAACCTTTGCTAAAGGAGATTGAAACATGCACCAGGACAGAATTGAATATGCAAACTTGATTTAATTACGTTTACAAAAATAGAGTTAAATTTACTGATTTATCATTTTATTAACTCTTTGGCTTGTTTCCAGTATGCTTGTACTGTTTCTTTGTTGAAATTTTTTTTAGATTTTCAGTTGTTTTCTCAAGGGACCAGCTTAAAGCGAGCATGCGCTCATGTATGCAGAACAGAGAGCTGACACCCTCGCTCGTCACTCTACCGAATACTCGCATCGGATATATATGTTCTTTAAACATACTCCAATACCAACTGATATCTTTGCAGAAACGTTTTAGATTGAAAACAAATAATGGCGACGAAGGAAGTGAATGTAGTGTTTAATTTTTACGAGAAGATTACGCCGCCGCCGAATATGGAATCTTTCCTAAAAGGCTGGAGTCATCTTGGCCATTTCGTGAAAACGCTTGACCATTTCGTCAGTGCTCAACTGCACACTAATTTGAATCCTGAAGGTAGCAAACGATATTATTTATTTAGCATTGTGTAAAGGTAAAACCTATAGTAATTAGGGAGATGTAAACCAGGTAACAATTGACTAGGACACATCTGTGAATCGTTGCGCCGGGTCAACATACCTCCAACGATACCTGGCCGTGATTAGGATGTAAGACAGAATAATTGCGTGCATACACAAATGGCCTACTTATTATCGTTGTCATGTCAGGCGATGATGTTTTCTCTGAATTTGCGAAACAAAATCAGTGTAGATAAATAAAGAGTCTCTTCCATTTCATTTCATTTTGCTTATCAATTATGCTTGCATTTTCCATTATATTTTATATTTACTTCAATATTAGATTATCATATGCATGAGTTATTATTGTGTTTCATTTTGCATGGTTTCACCATGGAGGAAATTTGACGTTACATCGTGCTGGACGCATGCCATAATCTGTCAGACAATGTTATTCCATGGCATAACTCAGACTAATAATATTCCCTTCAGTAATTTGACAACAAAGAACACTGTCGTTTTCAGAGATACATTGGGCCTATTGCCATAAACTACCGTACTTCGACGAGGTTACTCCACATATTTTTGCCAGTTGGTTGTTTTAGTCGTTTAATTTAACGATCGTAATAGATAAATATTCAATTAAAACCATGCATAGACCTGTAACGTATCTATACAGAAAAAAAAAATTAAAAATTAAAAATACAGAAATAAATTATTCTTGTACAACTGGGTGTGCGTATGTTCAAACATAAAACGTAATGAATTTTCATAAGATTAGGATAGGCGAATGTAGGCCTAACTTCCAAAAAGTTAGCGTGTGTGCGAGTGCGTGCGTCTGCTGGAGGGACTGCAGCACTGCATAAGCCAATCATGGATGTTCCATTTTAAGACATTAATGATATTAAATGTACAGAAGCACCAAATTGCCGGAGGTTACGCGCCAAGCCACAAAGTAGGGTGACCTCCTTTCCGGTGAACGTTATCTTATGAAAAAGTTAGAAAAATCACCTGGTAAAGCATAGGCACAGGAAGAGGGTGCGACCAACAGTTTGAGATATGAACATCGATAACATAAAAAACGGAGCAATATAATATTATAAAATATAACATGCTATGATTGACGGCTAGAAGGGAAATGGTACAGTCATTCACACGTTATGAACAGTCCTTTTAAGGTGAGTATAGCCTTAAGATTTTTTGGGGGGTTTGCTGGTGATAAAAAGGGAACGAGCTTTATAAACACTTAAAAACGAACAATGTGCTGTACTGATGATTATGATTGTTCTCTTTTATCGTATGGATGGCCTACCGTACCGGTACTCTTTAATCCTCCATTGAATCAGTAATCGTGTCCTGTGAAAGTGCATTGACATTGCTTTTGAATCGAAACTTATTAGTCGTTGTTGATATTATCAGACTCCTATTATGATAAAGACTGTAAACACGATTGTAGCCGGGTGAAACTAATTTCCGTTTATATCCTGTATGGAGAAACAGATTTTTCACTACATGTCATTGAAAGGTTTTATAGGCCCTACTTTCTTCGAGTTACTTTCATACTTACAGGAGAACACAATTTGGCCTCATTTGCATTTTGGCACCTGTATGGTTATTCAAACGCGATTTATTTGGAATAAAATTAGCAATAGCTAAATTCTAAATCTCTGTGCTTGTATCGTCATACACAGTACTTGTATTGAGATTTGCCAAATTATGCGCCGAATTATTGATTACATGCGTCGGGAGACCATGCCTGATGATTAACATGCCTCACCTCAAACTCACAATGCTGAAGAAGAGATGATAATGATATACACATGCGATTACATTATACAAAAAGAATTATTCTTGCCTAAATGATAGCGTGCACTTATGGTCAATCAAGAGCGTCGATCCGTGGTTGAAAGTGGGGGGACGAATTGCAAAATAAAGAAGTCAGGGCTCCCGGTGGGGTCGGGGGCGACGCTCTGGCGTTTATGGCCTTTTATAAGTCGGATATATAATTAAGTTAAGGATCGAATGCAAATAACATTTACTTCCACACATTTTCAAAATACAGTGGCGGATCCAGGAATTCGAATTAGAGGGCCCATGGAGGGACTTTATCGGTGGAGTGTAGTCCATTATTTTATGATCATTGCTAGTTAGTCGGAAATGGCATTCTCAGATTTAAATTTGAATATAATTTTCTTTTCTCTCCACTTTAAAATTTTAGAAAAAAAATATGGAGGGTGGGCCAGCTGGGCTCCCTAATTGAATCTGCCACTGAATACGGTACGGATCATTAAAACTTTTTTTTTTAAATTTATTCTGAGAAACATAATCATGCCCGCTTATGTATTTTGTGCGAAAAATAATGATTTATTATCTACTGATTAGCTTGTGACGTCTTCGAAGCATGAAAAACAAATAAGATACAGTAAACTTAAAACATTTGTCACTCTAATTTAGTCTGTTTGCATGTATACATACTTTTAAAATCAATCAAGATGTTTTTCCTTTTCTCCTCTTTTAATTCCACTTTTTGCAAGTATTAGGCCTATTGCGACTACAGTATTGTGAGTGGAAATACTACCGTCTAATTTACGATCAAACAGGACTAAGGAGATAGGAAACACACAGAATATTAGTTAGCATTTTTATTTCATAAACATAAATGTGATTTACTTAATTTATCATTATCATGACGTTATGACGATTTTGCGACAACGTAACATCGGATTTTATAAACTTAAATAAGTCGAAATAGAAAGACCTATGTCAAAGGCTGTATAATTATTGTTTAATAACGGCTATATAAAATTAAATTGACTAACTATAATTTGTTGAAATTGGGAAAAACAAGAATCTACCGTAGCCTATGTATGTAGATAATACCGTATTAAACACTATAGGCTGTTATAATGGTCTTAATAATATACAAAAGGAATAGATCGTTTTTAGTAGAAATTGTGCACTTTTAAGTTTGTAAAAATGTTGGCCTAATAGGTTTACACACTTCCAATTTAAAGTCGGGGAGACAATTAATATGATGTCCCCTACTTTGAAAAGTGGGGGGGGGGACGTTACCCCCTGTTCCCACCGGTCGACGCCCATATGTGGTCAATGACTGTACACACTTGTGTCTATGGCCCCCATCGATATGAGCATCAATATTGAAAATTAGAAATAAGAAAATGTTTAGCTATGTAGATAACTAACATTTTACGATTTTATCCACAGGACGTTTTCCGTACGTTAATTATTCGTTCTTTGAGGGCACACAGGAGCGAATCACCAAAGACTTTTGCGAACCATCTCCCGAGTTGATAAAGGCTCTGGTTGAAGGTCATGGTCCTCCAGGTCTGCAAGTCAATTATCCAGGTGAGTTTTGCCATGGAGTCTGCATGCAATTTAGATACACGTTCAACTCGACGAATTTTTCTGAAAAATATCTACAAACTACATCGACTACTAAATGTCAAAGTAGGCCTATGCTTCAGATGGCGTAGGCCCTATGTTGGAAAAAATCCGCGTCAGGAGGATAGGAAGCATAGTGTATTACAAAAACTGGATTTTGGCCCTGTGGACGTTCAAGCTCTTTTAATCATGCAATGGTGGATCCTTTGTGTATCACCGAAAACCCACTGGTTACAGTATTATTATTAATTTGTAACATAGGCCTAGTCCTTGGTGGCAACGTCGCTCGGGACACTCGCGTAACTCTTCCAAGATGAATTAATACAGGGGGATTCCTGTTGATTAAATTGGAGTGACGTAAAAAAGTATTTATCAGGTTTTTTTCCTTTTATTGACCACAGGTGGATATACGGAGGTAGCTACAATGGAAGGGTCGCCCATTGCCCCTGCCTTACCAAAAAGCACTGACTCCGTATTTTTATTGTCAAGCTTTAAGGTAGGTATGGCTGATCAACCTCCGTTTTCTCGATTGAAGATCATCTTTGAGGTCACTTGTTTTAACGTGTACAAAGACCTATCAATGTACCGGTACTCATAGATACCGTAACCAACAGTTTAACGTCCATGCATTTGCAGAGAAGTAACTGGAATATTACCCAATTAAAACACAACATTTCCATACAAACTCTTTTTGTACAAAGTTTTTTTTTTGTTTTTTTTTATTCAGGGACCAAAAACTGATGAAGAATCGGCAAAGTTTGAATCAGAGTGGATGGACGTAACTGGAGTAACAAAGCTAAAGGCAGATGAATCCCTTGGCCTACAGAATGCTGCCCTCTACAGACGCTTTACGCAGGCGCCTTATGACGTTCTCATGTATGTTGTTAGATGTGAGTTTGTGGGAATCGGATCTTCCAGGGGATTGGAAATTGCCAATGATCTTAAAGACGGTATCGTTGGCGATGGTGTGGAGAGAACGAATAGTTCCTTGTACAAGATTGAACCGAGCAATATTCTTAGCAAGTAAACAAGTCACAACAAACAAACCAATCCAGTAAAAGGATTAGAATGCGCGGGCTATGTTGGCAGAGCTATGATTGGATAATGATCAGACGTTAATGATCATGCGATTATAATTATACCCAAAGAATTATTCTTGCCTAGATTTATAAAGACACGTTTTATCAAATATTCAAAAAAATATTGCATTTTTAGTGTTATGTTGTTCCTTTTTTCAGTAAGTTAGAGCGAGAGTCCGCTTTCTACCAAAGAAAATTTCATCTACTACTATCCGCTACAACATTCATTAGAAAAATATACTACGTATTAGGTATGCACCAATTTTCTATAGCGACAGAGATACATTTTTTAAACAAAACAAACTACTTAAGAAATCCTATTTCAGGAATTTATTGTGGTATTTAGCCCTATTAATATATCAAAACTATGCATCGTTTGTATTTGCTTTAAATATACTTTTCCTAAAGTCAACAGAATTGTACCGATTAAAAGCGTACAGGTCTAATGATATTATGTAAAATATAATGGAATATTATAGGATTAGAGTCTATAATGAATTTTAATTGTTCTTTTTAAATATATATTTTGATACCCCAACAATTTATGCCGATTATCTTTCATTCAAATCCAGTTTGTATTTTCGTTTTAATAAAAATTAAGGTGTTGATATAGGCATATACGGTAACTTTTTATTTTGTTAATGTGTTCCGCCTTGTGACTTCACATTTTCCACAATTTGTTTTAATTTTTTCTGGTAGGGGGCAATGGTCTAGTAACGGGTATATAGGCTACCATGGCCGTAGACCAAGAGCCATTTATATCAAACTGCCGATTTCAGTGATTTCCATAACAATTGGTAAGCGATTTACTGATAAACCCACCAATAACTAGCAACAATGATGCGGAACATAGACTTACAATTCAAGTGTATTTAGGCCTATTAATATATCAAAACTATGCATCATTTGTATTTAACTTCAAATATACTTTTCATAAAGTCAACGGGAATGTACCGATTAAAAGCGTACAGGTCTAATGTCATTATGTAAAGTATACTGGAATATTATAGGATTACAGTCTATAATGAATTTTAATTGTTCTTTTTAAATATATATTTTGATACCCCAACAATTTATGCCGATTATCTTTCATTCAAATCCAGTTTGTATTTTCGTTTTAATAAAAATTGTGTTGATATAGGTATATAACTTTTTATTTTGTTAATGTGTTCCGCCTTGTGACTTCACATTTTCCACAATTTGTTTAAATTTTTTCTGGCAGGGGGCAATGGTTTAGTAACTGGTATATAGGCTACCATGGCCGTAGACCAAGAGCCATTTATATCAAAGGGTCGATTTCAGTGTTTTCCATATCAACAATTGGTAAGCGATTTACTGATAAACCCACCAATAACTAGTAACAATGATGCGGAACAGGCTTACAATTCAAGTGTTGCTAAACATGTTCACCGAGAATCCAATCGCGATTTTCATTTTCGGACGTGATCGTCATTGTCAGACTCGACACCGTCATCATTAGTCTCGATTGTCATCAATAGACATCTTCATCATCATTGGACAGGGGCGGATCCAGAGATGTCTGAAAGGGGGCCGAATAACACTGTTGGACGCGATCGTCATCTTACACGATCGCCATTATCAACGCGACCGTTATAACGCGATCACCATTATGATTGTATCCGAAGCATTTGTCATCATCCAGGGGCGGATTCAGATATGTCCGAAATGGGGGCCGGAACGGGGAACGATCGATCGTCATCATCAGACGCGATCGTCATCAATAGATGCAGTCTTCATCAATAGTCTATCAGGGGCATAGGCTGGGGGGTGCGAAGGGTGCGGCTTCGCCGGCGGGAATCCCCCTGCTTAACAGACGCGTTCGAGAAATTCATATAATCGTCATATTACTTATTACAAGTATTGAGTATGTAAGCTAAATATATTTAGTGAGGAAGGTTTTCCTCAATCAAGAAGGTTACTTTTGCCATGGAAACACGGCTATGATCAACATTCGGCTATATGATCAACATTCGGCTATATGATCATCATTCTGTAATGTACCACACCGGCTACCTCGTCAGCAAAATATTGATGCAGATCATGTTGCTCCATGTCACATTATTAATGATAAAATATTGATGATGATAACAACAACAACAATAGTAATAATAATAATAATAATAATAATAATACTGTAATACCGTAATAATAATAATAATAATAATAATAATAATAATAATAATAATAATAATGAATATGAATATGACAACGTCAATGGCGAAAATAACGAAGGCAAGAATAATACAATAATAATAATAATAATAATAATAATGATAATGATAATAATAAACTAATAATAATAAATTAATAATGATAAAATAATATGGCCTAGATGATAACATTAATAATAACAATAAAAATGAGAATGATTTTAATAATAATAATATTAACAATAATTAATAATAATTAGTAGGATAATAACCTAATAATGATCGGTGAGATGATGATGATGACTCACAGGCCATTCATAATGTGGACCTATCTATTTTCTCTATGTTATAACGTGCTTCTCTTTTGTGCTTATTATTATGTCATCATTCGGATTTTAACGTTCGACCTGTGTATATTGGAAGTTGATTTGATTGAACTAACAGGCGTTACCGTTATACATGCTTAAAATAGGTCACCTATTATATTTAGTCTATTTTGTATTTTTTGAAATGTTATGTGCGTTTTCCAGTTTGTTTTAGGCCCATGGCTTGTTTTAAATTGATAACATTTCTTATGTCCCCCTCCGCTGGCTGAGCCATGTCGGGAAGCGATTTTTTTTCCCGTACGAAATATTTGCATGAAACTCCACTCGGGTTGTCTCAACTGACTCGACTCGAAAATCGGTAAGATTTTATAGGCCTGCCGTAGGTAAATAAACAACAGTACAGTAAAGGTAATAGAATACTCGAGCGTCATGACATTGTGAAGTGCCTGCTCTTGTTCGTATATCAAACTCGATTCGAATCAATCCGAGACGACCCGAGTGGAGTTTCATGCAAATGTTTCGTACGGAAAAAAAAATCGCTGTCGGCAAACACTCTGGCCTGGTCGATTTTGCATAGAGGGGTCTTCCAAAGCCAACTGGATTTTAGCATCTGGTATTTAATAATTTCTTAAATTTTCATGAATTTCCTTCGTTCTATATAATAAAATATATGCCTGACTAAAAATTAAATTATAATTAATTGAAACATGAAATTTAGCTGGAACATTCGACAGTGCCTCTGATATCAATAATCACGTATAGTTAATAGTTGCACCCGGTAGCTTGTATACATTTGTTATTTGTCGATCAGCTGTCATCGACCTTCGATAGCTCAGTTGGTAGAGCGGAGGACTGTAGTGTTCAATTAGTAATCCTTAGGTCGCTGGTTCAAATCCGGCTCGAAGGACTTTTTTTTTTCTCTTTTAACTGCAATAAATTTGATGTCTTTATTCGATTGTGTTAGCACACTCGTCGTTTCATTCATTATTTTCTTTTTTTTTATTATTCGGGTACTTAATTTAAAATCGACAGCGAAAAGCTGAATTTGATTGATCTGATTGCATTACGACATATTAAAAACCATATTAATACAGGCCTACCGTACTTAGCTAGCTAAAATTTCAAGGCGAGTTAAATGGATTTTAGGTACAGATTGTGGTCTTGTTGAACTTCAGTCTTTTACAATAATTCAATACAATTCAATTCAACAAAACATTTTATCATTCAAAAGCCAGAAGTTATACAATGCCTAAAATGTGTTTCGATGAGGACAAGCCTAGAAATGAAGTTGTCTCAGCTAGCATTGGAACCTGGAATAAGACGAGCAATTGTCAATTTATGTTGGTCCCATATACTAAGCTATCTGAAATCTGTCATCTGTCAATATTGTAGGGCCATGATATCTGTATATACCGTACGGTACTGAAATATCCAAAATCCAACGCCAAGGGTATTTATGCTTGGTTACGCCCTTTTTAAACGAACCCCTCTAATAAACCACCAATCCCCCTCCTACTCATCTTGCTTCATCATCAACAACTTATCAAAATGAAATCCACCATTTACATGCTAGAATGCTTCAAGTCAAGGTGCTTCGACTCTTGCCGAAGAGCTAACCAGACCATTAAAACGTCTGTCTCTCTTCGTTGAATAAATAATTTTATAAAGATAATGCAAATTTATACATCAAGTATCACTGAGTTTAGGAAAATTTAGTCGACTTCATATTTCATTATTTCGTATTATAGAGCTACATAGGTCTAGTAATTTTACAAATGGCCGTATTCGACTGGTCGTTCTTCGTTAAACCCCGCCCATCTGCGCAGTGGTAAAATCCTACTTAACGAAGACGGCCAGTCAAAAATAGAAAACTGGTAAATACTACTCCACAAAACAAAATGGCTGCATAGTTACCGCGATACACGCTACGTAATCAAGGCTGCTTCGGAATGTGGCAGTATGGTTTTTTTCGTAAAAAAATGTTTTCATCCGGTTTTTGAATTCTGTTAGCCTACAATTATTTTTTGACTTCAATGTGGGTAAATATTATAATTTTTATTTTCTGAAATTTAATCTAAATTATATTAACGCAAATGTTGTTGCTAAACTGACCAATCGGCCATATTTTTTGGTCACGTGCATAACTGACCTCTACTTAATAGCTGGTTTTGCTCATCGGCCATGTTCAGAAAAAAAGTGAAGCCACCGACGCGTCGCCATGTTGGGGGCCTAGTGTACCAGTTTCTGGTTTAAGCTACGTTCACATCAAGCCCGGATCCGGTCCGGAATCCGGAGAAAAAATCGTGAAAAATGGGTCCAGTGGTAAAGAATAGGACTGTTCACATTAAATTCGTACGATTTCCAATCCGGGCTCCGGATCCGGACCAATGGATCTGAGAGCCATTTGTATCCTGAAATCGTACGTTTTTTTTTTGGGACCAATCAGCAACAAGCTTAGGGGTCAGCGAAAAATAATTGGGGGTCCGTCAAGTCAAAGTCCCCGAAAAATGTGGTCCGCAAAAACCTTTTCATGATTTCATTATTTTTCTTGTCTTACCTTGGCTATAATGAAATACCTTTGACAAGCATGACTTCGTTCACTGTAAATTGTTTTATGATTGTCATTATATTTTAATTCAAATATTTTTTTTGTGATCTGATAGAATCGTTTAAATTAGTTTTGCTTATGTATTCTCTATGTAAAGATGTTTAGTATAGGAGAGCCGCTTGATAGTGGCAATCCTCAGGTAGTGTACATCTTGTTTTCATGTTTTCTCTTGTACTGCTTTTACCTGGATATTGCATAAATTAAACAAATCAGGAGGGAGCCCTAAATTTGACAACATTAAAATTAAATGGGGGAATAACAGAATATTACATTCAAATTTTGAATCTGACAGTGTCATTTCCAGATGATCTAAAAGTGCAACAATTTCCTACCTCAGCCCCAGCCAAGGATGGGGCTGAGGTAGCGTAGATCCCCTATCTGTAAAATTTACTGTCTGCACCCCTGCCCTCCTGTCTATGTCGAATTCCAAGATCCAAGATGTCGTAATTTGGCGAATCATCTTCTATCCATAATCTTATTGGCGGAATATCAACCATGAGTTGATACAAAAAATACAATACATACAAAAAAAAACACACACACACACATGAAAACACCAAAACGTGACACACACACACTTAAACAACAGAAAACATATATCTCTTGGCGGAGATAATAAGGTGTAATAAATATTGAACACAATGGCCGTATTCGAATGGTCGTTCGTCGTTAAACCACTCCTTTACCCGCACATTGGTAAAATCAACCAGTCGAATAGAAGACTAGTAAATGCTCGACAAGACAAAATGGCTGCATAACTATCGTTATGCAGCCATAACGATAGTATCAAGGTTGCTTCGGATTGTGGCAGTATGGGTTTTTCGTAAAAAAATGTTTTCATTCAGTGTTTGAATTCTGTTAGCCTACAATCCAATTATTTTTTGACTACATGTTGGTAAATATTGTAATTTTTATTTTTTGAAATTTGACCTAAATTATATTAACGCAAATGTTGCTGCTAAACTGACCAATCGGCCATGTTTTTTTTTTTGGTCACGTGGATAACTTAACGCTGATTAACGCACTCTGGTTTACGTTTATTTCCGTTCCGTCATTTTACGAACCAGTCTATTGAATGATAATACTCAACGAAAAATCGTAGTCAACTAGATGAGCCAGTCGAATAAGCCCCATATTAAGTATTTGTGAATATGCTTAGCTTATATAAGGTAATTACATTAACTAACAAGTGATGTATTATACGTCTTTGTTTTAACAAGAGCATTGTCATTTCAATACTACAGTCATTCAATGTTTCTGCTAGATGTGAGAATTATAGTACAACCATGGATTCTACAGGTGATAACGGGTGGTACCTATCACAAGTAATGTGAGGATAATTATAGAAATATTATCGAAGGGTGATTATTATTTCGGATAAGTTGTGTACCGGTACTTTATTGACGGTACACGCCTAATTATTACTTTATACTATTATCGATGTATATAAGGATCAATATAAGTCTACGTCGTCAGTAGGGAGCCTATGTTTTTTTTTATCTCAAACACAAAATTACAACCAATCAGCAAACATCCAAGTATCAAATTAGTTTACTTTTATTCTGTTCACTACCGCTTAACCCGGCATGATTATGTTCACGATCATACTACATTTATACGTACTTCTAGCAAAGATAATGTTCTTTGCTTCTAGGTAATACATTTGTTTTATTTTGTTTTCTAAACGTTAACTATTCTGTATTTCATATAAAGATATTTTGGATATCATGTAAGGTCCGATTCGATGTTGAATTATGAAACGTGTAGGCTGCGGCACCAAGACCTCTGATGATTAGTGCCTAAAAATAGTTACAAAAATGTAATGCAATAATGACATATTAACTATTATTTTATATTTTCGGAAAATATTTCAGCCGCTCCGAGTCTCTTTCTTATTCTTCCTTCTTCCTATATTCTTTCACATTTTGCGTTATTTTTTATTCATAATATTTATTAATAATTTCACACTAGGCCTACACACACTAAATCTCAGGCATAGGCTATGCCTATACTATATTATTTAAATATACAATTTTAATAGATTAATTTAACACGGACTAGTAATTCATACTTAAACAATACATTATTTAAATATAAATAATATAATTATAATTAATAATATTAACAAATGAATACCAATTAAAACGTGGACATAGTGTCACAAGATTAACATTTTTCAATCTTATAAATTTTATATAGCCGGAGTTATGTATGGACCTAGGCTACTATATGGCTAACGAGAGGTACACTTTCTCCATTAAAAAGGCTTTTTATATGAATGGATGGACCTGTAAGCACGACCTTCTGTAGGCCAAACCCAGAACCGTTACGATTTTAATCGTGCGGGTTCTCATTGTTTTACAATGCAAAAATACAGAGTGTTTTAACTTACTGCTTAATCTGTACATATAAAAACCTGACTAAACAAAATATAAAGAAATTAGACTCCATCAGGAAGACTCTTAAGAAAATTGTTAAAGACGACATTATACATTTAGATTATATTTATGAAAAATACACACTAGCTAAACTTAAGAAAATAATGAACGACAACTCATCCACTACATAATGAATTTACTTTTAACAACTCAGGTTTCCGTCTAAATGTGCCACCCACCAAACGTTGCCGTTATAGAAACTCCTTTGTTCCCAACTCCATTCACCTTTATAATAACAATATTAATAGATAATTTGTAGTTTTAATTAGTAGTACAGTAGTAAGTTTAATGTGTTTAAGTTTAAGTTTAGTTTATGTTTAACGTGTAATTGTATTTAATTTTCTTTGTATGTTCATCTTGACTAGATATTGTTTGGTGCTAATTAGTTTCTATATTTTTGTAATTGTTTCTTTATTTATTATATGATATTAACACTTGTTACCTTGCCAGTGATTGCAATTTCTGAGTTTTATTTCAGACAATAAAAGAATCTTGAATCTTGAATGATGAACGAAAAACACGATTATAATGTACTTATACAAATACACAGTTTTTAAATTCATCCAAGATGCATTTGACATTCCTTGTATGTCGTCTCTAATATGAACAAATCAAAACCGTTCTCTGAAACGGCATTTGAGTCGGTTCTTTCACTACTCATCTTGCATTCATGAGTTTCCGAATTGTACGAGAAAGAATTGCAGATTGCAGACCGTTCACAATACAAACTACATGCCCCAGAACTGATTGCTGTCTTTGACGATAGAAGTGAGCCCTCTAGTGGTGATTTGTCAGATCCAAACTTCTTGAAATGGTTATACTCGGAGACTATTTAATAGGACATAAAATATATAAATTATTACACCAAAAAGTATCATAACGGAAGGATTACAGTCTGAACAATGGCGTATGAGGGAAGTATTTATTGGTAAGATTAAGTGAAGGCCGAGGATTTAAGTGCATGTAAGGGGTGCGGAGGAAGGGG